GAGTAGCAAAATGTCAAGACTGATAAATAAACTCTTGCATCTCTCTCTGTTGCCTCCTAGACTCTTTATAGATAGTCATTTTTTACTCTACTGCCCAGCAAGTTCCAGTTTGACAGATTTTTTTTAATATGAAGTTTCTCAAACACTTCTTAGGCATATTAATTCTCTCATTGCTGAACAGTGAAGTTGTAGAGGTTCAAAACTTGACCGAATCTGACTTGATGCTACCTGAGGAGTCCTGGTAGTTAGGCTCAGCTTTGATTTTGCCTTGCTTTGAGCATGATCTGCACTATGTGACCCCAGCAGTCCTTTCTAACAAAGATCAGGAAAAAAAAGACTATCTTAGAAATGTCTTTTCTCTCTTGATAGGCCAGGGATCAGTTTTCTGCAGGTAACTGCTTGTTATGGGTACTCTTTTCAAGACTGACCAGCTCAAAACAGGAGGGCCACGTGGCAATATAGTGTTAGCTATTCTGTCCTTGACTGACTGATATTCTCGTGTATATGGCATAGAAATTCTAGGAGACACATTCCAGAGTTGGAGATGCAGCAGTAGAATGAGCAGTTTTGTGAATTGTGTTGCAGTGAGCTGTGGGAGACTGCTTCGTCATCTTTAGAACTGGAGGAGGAACTGGAGGAAGGTGCTAGGACACTGTTAGAAGCTAAGTTACTTAGCATGTGTTTGTAATAACATGGCTGCGTTAGCTGTTTCACAACTTCATTTACATTTTAGAAAGATTCAAGTCCTGCTTCCCTTTCCCTTTTGTAGAATGCCTTGGTGTTACAACTTTTTGTGTGGGGAAAGTGCACAGGTTGAATATCATCCTCAGTTTTATGAACAGGCTGGGAGGAGGATAGATCCGTGGTTTTGTTTTGTTTTTTTTCTTTGGGAAGGCTTAAATAAATCCTTGAGAAAGAAGACCTCTGTCTTGTTTGACAGTGTCTGGCTTGGATTCATAAAGCACAGACTCAACTGATGAATGTACCAATGCATATGTGTGGAATTATATTTTGCTTTTCTGATTTTATTTTATTTTCATTTTTATCTTTTATAAATGTAACTTGTTTTTATGTTTTTCTAGACAGAAAGAATTTACTTTCAAGTACTTTTACCAAAGGGAAACAAAGAGAAAAGCAAGCCTATGTTCTTTTGCAGTAAGTGGAGTATTGGCAAAATAGTAGATTATGCAGCTTCCTTAGCAAGCCTTAAAAATGACAACAACAAATCAACAGCCCAGGTAAATCAGTAATAATATTTACACATCCCTCCCTCTCCTTTTCGTCCCTCTGCCCCCTTCTCCCTTTTTGCATCTTGGGCAAATTTTGACATTAATTTCTGTGTTAATTTTCTTGTAGAAATTGAGGTTATGCCATACTGCCTCTGGAGAAGCCTTGCCATTTGAGCACACGTTGGAAAAATGGCTATCTGATGAAGATTATCCATTATTCAATGGTGGAAATGTAATTCTGGAGTATCTTGATAATGATGTTTTATTTATAGAAGATACAGAATCATACTTAAGTTAGTAAAATATTACAAATTAAACAGCAGAAGAAAATTTTCTAGAAATGTGGTGTTCAAACCAAGACCAGTTTCCTCTTCATAGAATCATAGAATGGCTTGAGTTGGAAAGGACCTTAAAGATCATCTAGTTCCAAGCCTCCAGCCATAGGCAGGGTTGCCACCCTTAAATTACTGTATGCAGAATCTGTTCTCACCTCTGGAAGACACAGTTTCTGTGAATTCTTCAGCTGCATACTTGGCAAAACTATGTCCTGAAAGGACTGCTAGTTATTACAATAACTCACTAACTAAAATAAACTCTTGCTTAAGTGACATTTTACAGCTAAATTTTATATGTGTTTATTTTTGTTTAAATGATGTCTAAATTATGTATTGATAAATACTGAAAATGCGCAGTCGCAATGTGTCAGTTCTGTGAAGGAAAGGAGCACATTACACTCTTGCAGCATGTTTTCTATGTCTACAGGGACAGATTTCACGTGTTCGGAATGCAGCACCGGAGCCTGTGCTTCAGATCCACATTTTCTTAGTGCATTGATTTTTAGAGAAGAAGCTTTACAAAGCAAAAGTAATTCTCATGTCTCTTCTGTGTTTCAGAATTTCAATATCAAGTTTTGTTTTTTTTTAATATTCCACTTTATTATCCAGTGAAATCATCCTCTCTTACATAAGTTTTCAAAAAGGAAGAAATATGGTTAAACCAGCAGCACAGCTTTTAATACCTTGTGGTTTCATCCTGTCCTGGTTTAGACAGTGTCTGTTTTAGGTAAATCTCTGTTGCATCATCTTCAGCAGTCTGCAAGATAGAGTCCCCAAGTTTTAAAGGGGTCGTTGATGGTGCTTCAACATAATAAATTACACCTCTAGTTGCTTGTAGTGGCTTTCTCTGATGTCAGTCTTGTAATTCGGTTTGGAGGTCATTAAAAAGATTGTTTGAAGTATAAGTAGATGAACTCCAATTTTTGTGAAGATGCTGCAAAAAGGAGGTGCTTTGCACAAAGGAAAGAACTGATGAGCCAGACTGTAAGAAAGCACTGAAGTGCTGTTGTCATTACGCTGTCTGGTGCGTCCCCAAACTTCTTTCCACTTTCCCTTGAAGTGACACACAGGCATGCTAAGGAGTCAAGGTTTCCCAGCAATGTAGGTAAAGCATACTTCTGCAAGGAGAGCAGAACTGGTGATCATAGAATGGTTTGAGTTGGAAGGGACATTTAAGATCATCTAGTTCCAACCCCCTGCAATAGGCAGAGACAAGATGTAATTCACGGACTGGGGGGAGAATGGCTAGAAGTAAGGATGGCAAACTTTGGAGCAAAGATGTGTTGGAGGCTTTGAGAAATCAGTGGGATTGTCTTTACAGGAAAAAGCAGTTTGGTCTTCAGTGACTGAATATTTTGAAAATCTTTGGTTCATGATAGTGAAATGTTATGCATGCATTTCTCCATTTCCCCCTATCTCTCTCTGCAGCTGTATGTCGTCTCTTTGTGGCATTTCTGGCATCTTTCTCTTGCCATTTCTTTTCTTCTCTTTCTTTTCACATCCCCTCACCTGCCACCTGCAGGTGAAGCATATGACTTACATGACTGTTCTACCACCTCCTCGTCATCAACATATTTGGATAAGAAGGCTGAGGAGGGATACGTGCCAGAACTGCCTGCACACAGCCTCTTCAGAAGTTTTATTTACTTCATAATACAGGTTTTCTATGTGCATATAACTGCAGGCAAAATGACTATAATAAAATTTACTGGAGCTGGGGAGAATGCAGACTAGGGGAAGTGGAAGTAAATCTTTGGGGAGAACTCAAAGGTTTCATAAGGAAGTTTGCTTTTCCCAGTTGCCAGTTAATGCTAAGAGCTAGCAGCCTGTAAATGACAGTACAAATACAGCAAGTCACAGGTTGTTAAAACTCCAAAAATTTTTGACATTCACTTTCATCTTATTCCAAGGCTGTGTCTGGGATAATATGCAGAAGCTCATCCCACTTAGTTTTGAAAAACCGAGAAGCAAAAACAAATGAAGGCAGGCTGACAGACAAATAGCTATCCTATCATGACATTCTTATACAGATTCTAGAAGTAAAAGCAGAAGCATTTGCTGAGCTGCAGCATCTTGTTTGAGATAGAATTGCTCAGGTGTTAGCTGTTTGACTTTAGCTTCTTGTTTGTTATTTCTCTGTGTGACAGTTTTAGAAAATGGATGAGGCTAAGCCTCTGCAAATGTTTTACCTCCTAGGGTGCTGCAGGTTCCAGCTCCTGGCCTTGTGTTGTTTCACACACAAAATCTCCTTCTGTATACTGGTATGGAGGTACAGAGCAAACTTTGGGAAACCCTAAATTTGCATCAAAGGCTCAACTTTGCTTTTGTAAGTGACTTGTGAACCAGCTGGGCAGTGCCAAAGTAAACAAGCAATACTATGTTGTGCTGAGAAAGCAGACAGCCATCTCTCAAGCAGTTTCTCTTTGTGTATCTTTTAGGAAGAGAGAAAAGTTATGTGCCCTGTGGTGTGTGACCTGCATGGCCTGAAGGTGTTTACCAGCAGATCTGTTTTCTTGCTTACCAGGTGTCACAACAAAAGCTAAACCACAGCCCGTGTGCCTCAGTTGGTGCTACAGTTTTTAGCTTGCAATGATGTGCAAAATAATCATGCAGGAAAACATTTGCAGAGACCTGTAAAGACTGACAAATACTGCTTAAGGTCTCTACGATTCTGCCTGTTTGAAAATGAGAAAGATGAAGCGTGGAAAGGTGCAGTGACTAGGCACTGGCGCTGCTGGGAATGGACACCACATCTCTGAGGTATAAAGGAAAAGGTGAAAGCTCCCCTGCAGAAGCACACAGCTGTGGGTTGAGTTGCCACTGGGAGCAGCAGACAAGTCATGGTCATTCTGAACCATAAAGTACGTTACACAGCCCTTGTCCTCCTTGCTGTTCGCTGTAGATCAACATCTTACATATGAGAGTAAACTAGATTAACTGCCGGTTGTAAACACAAGATGCCTCTGTTTTATCCTGATGAAAGATGCAGGGCCAGAATTCAGAGAACAAGGCTCTGTTCAGGCAACCTTACCAAGGAAAGCAATGACTTTTGTTTCCCTCTATGTCTCTTTAACGATATTAACCTAAAAAATGCAGCTTTTTTTGTTTCCAAAAAAATCTGTCTGGATTGTATGGGCTTTTCTGGAAATTTACTGCATGTTTAACATCAAAACCAGTGGTCTGTCAGGTTGCAGGTTTGGTATTATCTCAACTACCAGCCCTAACGGGGGTGGAGGGAGAAGGGGAAGGGTGGGGGGAGTAAGGAGGCAGAGGAGGCAGTTGCACAGCTCCTGAAAGCTTCTACAGAAAAAATCTTGAACTGACAGAACACCGCAGCCGCTGTGGGGCGAGCCCGGGACAGCCGGCGAAAGGCGCCGCTCCCCGCTGCGCATGCGCGCTGTAACTCGTCGGTGTAGGGGCGTGGCTTGGCGCCTGCGGGGCATGCGTAGTGCCGCCGAGGGTGAAGGCTCACTTGGAGCAGCGGCGGCGGTTAACGGAGCTGGGAGCCCTGAGGTCAGGTGAGGCGGCCTTCTCCTCTGTCTCCATTCCGGCATGCAGTGCTGCCCTCGCGGCCCTTTTCTCGCGTGAAGCAGGGGCTGCTCGCGACTGGGGCTGCCTTTCGACCTGACGGGACCTTTAGAGCCCCGGTTGCCCCGTATGGCGGCTGGGTGCCGGTGACCTGTGCTCTGCCGGGACCGGCGGGTCTGGGTTCCGCCAGCCGCACCTCCGCTCTCAGTGCGGGGCTGAGCCTGCGGGGCTGGCCGGCGGCGGGGCGGGAGGGAAAAAACAGCTCCGTCCCCTAAACGCGGCTGCTGCTGTTTAGCTAGAATTCGTGCAGACTTACTGTCGGGATGGAATTCTGATCGTAACTGGTTGCTTTTCCTTTGCTGTGCCGTTGTGCTGGGTGTCTGTGTGCTTAGCGGGACGTTGCTCAGTGCCTCTGGTGCGCAGCCACACGGTGCCCGGCACCTTACTGGTGTTATCTGACTGGCCCTGTGTGCACAGGGATCTGTGCTTAGTAGGGTATGAATACAATTGGGCCATCGTCTCCTTGTGTTTTACAAAAGTAGAGTTTCTTTTGGCAATTTTCAGCTGTTAGGAACTGGACTAGACAAGGGCCATTAAATCAGGATACTTGGGCTGGGGATGGGTCATGGTGATTGTATAAGGTTTTGTTAATGAACGTTTATCCTTATAAATTGACAAGCATTTCAGGTCTCTTGTCCTGTTCATCATGTCTCAAGGAGAACTGCTTGCATAGCAACTACCTGGGGAAAGATCTCCTTGAGAGCAGCCCTGCAGAGAAGGACTTGGGGCTACTGCTGGAAAAGAAGCTGAACGTGAGCCAGCAGTGTGCACTTGTAGCCCAGAAGGCCAACTGTGCTCTGGGCTGCATTAAAAAAGGGGTGGCCAGCAGGGAGAGGGAGGTGATTGTCCTCCTCTACTCAGCTTTTGTGAGGCCCCATCTGCAATAATGAGTCCAGGCCTGGGGCCCCCAGTACAGGAAGGATGTGGAGCTCTTGGAGCGGGTCCAGAGAAGGACCACTAAGATGATCAGAGGGCTGGAGCACCTCTACTATGAGGAAAGGTTGAGGGAACTGGGCTTGTTTAGCTTGGAGAAAAGAAGGCTCTGGGGAGACTCATTGTAGACTTCCAGTACTTGAAGAGAGCATATAAACAGGAGGGGGAATGACTGTTTACGAGGGTAGATAGTGATAGGACAAGGCAGAATGGTTTTAAACTGAGACACGGAGGTTTAGGCTAGGTATTAAGGAGAAGTTTTTCACAGAGGGTGTTGACGCACTGGAACAGGTTGCCCAAGGAGGTTGTGGTATTGGTAGGTGGTATTGTTTCTTAATAAATGTCTATAGAAGATGTTTTTAGGTGACTATGGGATCTTTCTCATGTGGAATCAATACCATTTCATGTTCATCTTTGGAACACACCCCTAGAGCAAAGAGTGACAGAATAAACAACGAAGTATAGGTTTGGAGTTTGTTCCTTTCTAATTTAAGACGTTCACACTCATTTAAACCATACTTAAAACTAGATTGAGCTTTATGTAATCAGTCTTCTGCAGTAAATTATAGTGATGATTCTGCGGCTTTTAAGCAAACAGGCCCTGAGCTGTGCGCTGCTTATTTGTAACCACGCTATTGCTTTTCAAAGCTTTTCTGTACTTTGAGGTCAGTGTCTAATGTGTCTAAATGTAGAATTGCATATATGCTTGTGTCTTTCAGCACTGAGGATTTGTACTTATTAATGTTTTTATGTTGTGCCTTATTGATCATCACAAAATGTGCAAATAATCTGGTAACCTCTACTAGACATTTAATAAATTTGAAGTTCTTCTTTCCTGAGTAAAAGATAATACAGACTTCTGTATTTCAGAGAGGAGAGAACACTGCAGGCTGATCAGGAAGAGTGAAAAATTATAATTTATTAAAATAGTAACCGTAATCATTTCTTGTGTTAACATATCCCTTTGGTAGGTTGTACGTCAAGAAAACATGGCAGATCCTTGGCAAGAATGTATGGATTATGCAGTTACATTGGCAAAGAAAGCTGGGGATGTAAGTATAAACCATTTATAACTAATAACATTATTTATTGAGGCTGGTATATGTGTAGCTTTTGAATGAGCTTCGATGTTTTATATTCTTCAGAGGAGTATTAAAAAAAAAAAAAGGGAATTAGCACAGTAGTTAAATAAGTGTTTCAAGATTGGAGTACCTTTCAGCTTGGTTAGTATAATAGGGAACTTTGCATCTTTCTTGGAATGAGGGTCTAATAAAAAACAAGGAATATCTTTTGTTCCTTAGATTTCATTTTAAAATTATTTTGGAATAATGGTAAACAGTGGGTATTTGTTTTTTCCCTTAAATTTGTTTCCCTTATTTTTTTGTATACCTGAAAACTGTTGACTGTCTTTCTTTGGAACACTTTTAGTTGACCTTACACAGTGACTTGGTGGCGTATCATACCATGCTGTTTTCTCTTTCTGAAGAATGCTTTACATCTACAAATAAGAAATATTTCTTACAGTTTCTGTACTTCAAAGTATTGTGATCTAAGATCTCTTGAAAGAGCTTTTCTGTCTTAGCAAAGGCTCGTCATAGGAGCTGTTAGTGGAAGTTCATTTATTCACTGTAGTTCTGCTTTGTGCAGCTGTCTGTAGCTTGAGAAGATGGCACGTGTGCTAATGCTGTACTTGGAGCTGCAAAATGGCAGAACGTTGTCCCTGCTATAACCTCGTTACAGTCTTCCCTGAAAAAGCTTTCTGAGTAAACCAGTAATCGAGGCTGTGAGGCATGCATTCTTATTCAAGCTGATTCTGCCAGTTTTAAGATCATCAATGTAAGATCTGGCTAAAAATGCATCACGTACGCTCAGTCCTAAGTATTTCTATTTGTTTATTAATTTATAAATTTAGCCCTTGTAACAAACAGAGCTCAGTGTCATGTGCCATTGTAAAGGTCATGTAGAAGTTTGCGCTGAATAGGGACTGCAGAAAGATGTAGGGATGAGCCCCTGTAATTAAATGGAGATTTGCCACTGTTTGTCTTTCTGTTATGTATGTGCAGTGTAGAAAATCGCAGTAAAAATGATGCTGGGTGATGCTCAGATTCCTGAGAGAGCTAATTTTTTCCATGCTGTTAATGAAGAAAGCTTTTTTTTTTTTTCCCCCTCTTTTGTTAACAGATAATCCGTGGAGCACTCAAGGAAGAAAAATCCATTATGATTAAAAGTTCACCAGTAGATCTAGTGACTGAAACTGATCAAAAAGTAGAAAACTTCATTATCTCATTGATAAAAGAAAAGTATCCTTCTCACAGGTACAGTTCCTAGTGTATCATAGAATCATGGAATCACAAGGTTGAAAAGGACCTACAAGATCATCTGGTCCAACTGTCCTCCCATTACCACTGCTGATACAAGCCACTAACCCATATCTCATAGCTCCTCATCCAGACGCCTCTTGAACACTGCCAGGGACCACAACTCCACCACCTCCCTGGGCAGCCATTCCAGTACCTGACCACTCTCTGAGAGAAAAAGTCTGAACCTCCTCTGGTACAACTTGTGGCCATTTCCTCAAGTCCTGTTTTCTTGCGTGGAAGAAGAGGCCAAACGCCTCCTCACTTCTGAGGGGGCTCTGGGCAGTCTGCTCTCGTGGTTGGTGACCCTGCCGTAGCAGGGGGGTTGAAACCAGATAATCATCATGGTCCTTTTCAACCAGGCCATTCTATGGTTCTAATCAGTTCAATTTTGATAAAAGAGAAGGGATAATGAAATGACAAGTTTGATTTTGCTTGGTAAAATTCTGTTACGACTGTCTGTTGGAAAGCTACAGAAATCTCCCATAGCTTTAGGATATTGTTTCATAGCGCTAATTTTTCCCAAATGCTTTGAAATTCATTGCTTGCTAATTTTGGTATCAACTTAAGAGAGGTATAGTAACAAAATGTAGTATCCATAGAGTTACCATGGGTCAAGGCTCATACTGGAAATCACTTCAGTTTGAACCAGCTGTATGTCATTAAGTTCTTTGTCTTTTGTGTTAGAGCATTGTGAGCAGCCCCAGGGTAACTGGATCCCAAATGTCTTGTATACTTTTGGTTGTATGAACTTGCATATCTTCACTGCCTAAACTGGATGGCTACTGTGGTAGTGAGTGTGCCTATGGTAAATACACGTGTAAGAGCCTTGAAAGCAGATTGACTTTTCTGCTTCTGCATTACTGAGTTTGTTATACAAAGTACTGTGTACTACAAAATACTCTTTGTTTTATGTATTTGTATAAAAAGAAATCTCTTCTTGAAGGGCATGTTGTATTAACTTGCTGTCTTTCCGATTTTGACATAAGGCTGAAGTTTAGTACAGTTTTCTAACGGAGATTTGCTAAATTTTCATGCCTTTTCTTGGAGATTTTCTTATCATAGCAATATATGTAAAAATAAATAAGCACAAAGTTAGTAGAACTCAAGTGATGTAAAATGTCAGTAACCTAACCAAATCAGTGTAAGCATCCAGATGTAAGTAACAACCTCAGAAGAAAGAAGTTTCTGGTATTGACAAACAGGTTAGACTATTTAAACTTCTTTTTATATTAGGTAATTTATACTTTCTTGGACACATTTCTATTGAATTTGTTTCTGATAAATTTCTCATTTACCTGAAATAACTCTTCAGTCTTTCTCTTCTTGAAGATCTGCATTTTGGAAACATGCTGTTTCTTTCTGAGCAGTTATCTTCACTACTCCAGTTGATCATAAGAGCAGGCACTTGATGCATGCTTTTCATTGGTTGAGTAATATGTGGTAAAATAAATGTGTGAAAAGCATAGAAGGGAATTCTACCTGCTAACATTGATCCTAATAATTTTGCAGTTCAAAACAAATACTTCCAAAAAACAGATTCTGAAATTTGGGTTTTTGTGGTACAGCCACATGTGTCCCTTGGTTTAGTAGCATGCCTGATCACACACGCTTTGCCCTGTCTTTTGGGGAGGCTCTGATTTGGTTTTCATCCCTTAACCAAGTTCCATTTTTTCAGAATGCTCATAAAATGCAGTTCTGAGTTGTAACCATTTTGCCGTATCTGAGTTAAGTGTTAATGACCAGTTACTGTAGTGATTGAAGCACGTGAGTGTGACCATAAAAGCTTTCTGCAGTTAAAATACAGGCAAGCAATGCTTTATAGTACAAATAAATTGAAAGTACTCTAGCCAAAGCTTGGTGATGGTGTTACTGTTTAGAATGAAAACTTCAGTGTTTAGAATGCTAAATTCCAGTGAGGGATATGAAAAAAGCATTTTTTTCCCCAGCATTTATGCTATTTTCTGACATGATAAATTTCAGTACAAGCTCGGTCAGGTGCAGTTGGTGCTTTCCAGCTTTTCTCCTCTTTTCACATATGATTAGTGATGGTATGAAACCTGCATCTTGCTTCAAGAATTTAAGTTTCAAGGACAGTGTTGTAATTCAGAACTTCTAAACAATTTCTTTGTATCTTTTAAATATGTTTCCTACTGCAGCTTTATTGGAGAAGAATCGGTTGCAGCTGGAGGGGGCAGCATTTTGACAGATAGCCCCACATGGATTATAGACCCTATTGATGGAACTACCAACTTCGTGCACAGGTTCACCTTTCACTTCTTGTGTTAGCAACTTCAACTGATTAACATTTTTCTTTCTGCAATTCCTGGGAAGTACAGCTTTTTCTCTTCCAAATTGCTTTAAAAGGGATATTGTTGCTAGTTACAAACTGCTGAAATTTAATGAGACGCTGGATAATTTCAATTGTTATTTTAGTATTTCTGTAACTTTTGTAGTAGTGTTGCCATAACCGTGAGCGGATATTCCTTCAAAGCTTTTTACTATGTGTGGTCAGCAGCCTTGAAAAGCATCAGGAGTCAGAATTAGGAGCTGCACCCTCAGAGAGGCCTTGGTGAAAGGCAGTAACACAGCTCTAAGCACTGATTTCCAGCAGCTCTCAAATCTGATCTGGGAGCTCCTACAATGAAAGAAAATGAAATTATCACTAGTGGTTGCTTATGGGTGTCCTGTATGTTGAGAAGGGGGCTTTCAGGGTAGTGATGACTGACTGTTCCCTCATCTGTGAAACACAGTTTGACCTTGGTGAGCTTTTTTTTTTTTTTTTAATGTTCTTGAATACCATTTTCAAATGACTGTTTCTGTGTGGGCCGCAGCTTTAAATAGGTGCTGTACCCTGATAATTAACATGTATAAAAAGCCAGAAGAAAATAACATGTTCTGCTGAATTTAATGACTTAAATCTGTAAGGAAGGCAGGGGAGATGAGTAACTGCTTCTGATGAGGCTGTTTTGGCCAGACAATTTGTTCCTCCTGAGAAACGTCAGTGGTACAGAGGCCTGCTTGTATTCTTTATCGATAAAAGTGGCAGTCTCCATGCCCAAATGTAACATCTGTAGCTTCACTGGGTAGAAGAGTTTGTATTTGCAATGATAAATGGTGTTGTTGGGTGTATTTTCATAGTAAACTCCACAAATTCCAGAGAAAGTAGTATTTCCTATATATTCCACACTTCTTTCTTTATTGCATATGAGTGAACATTGTTTTTGTTAAGCATAAGCATGGTAACAAAAGAAGTTTGGTGTCTTCACATTAGCGAAATGTTTTGTTTTGTAGGTTTCCATTTGTGGCAGTTTCAATTGGCTTTGTTGTAAACAAAAAGGTATACTTTTCATTACTTAATATCTAATCAAGCAAAACTAATCAATTTCTTGTTGCTAGTTATTATTAAGATTTGTATTTTCACAGTAAATAGGAAGAAAGGGAACAGAAACAGAAACGTCACTTTTCCTTGCAGATAGAGTTTGGAATTGTGTATAGCTGTGTTGAAGACAAGATGTACACTGCCAGAAGAGGAAAAGGGGCATTTTGCAATGGCCAGAAACTTAAAGTGTCAGGCCAAGAAGGTAAGTGGAACAACACAGCTTTTTAAAATAATTTCATTTCTTTTACAAGTGGTGCATCGATGCTTTTGGACTTGGATGTATTCCAGTTTGTTAGCATGCTGTTTTGCTTACAAACACAGGCTTTTTGGCCATGAATTATTCAGATCTGAGAAACAGTTACATTCTCTTTGATCCATATAACATGCTTGTGATCTTTGCATGATCAACACTCAGCAGTTGAATTTCTTATTCCTTGTCTGTGTTGTTGGTTTTTTTTTTAAGTGTATTTCCTGTAAGCCTGCAATCCCTCTGTTTGTTCTGTAGGAACCATAACAAATCTATTAAACAATTCAACGTTGTCCAGCTGTGAACTTTGTTCACATTTTAAATCACTGTCACTCTTTTGTACTTGCCTATCCTGTATAAAATAAAATCCTCACTTAAAGTGGAGGGCCTTTGAAGTTCTGAGAATTCATTAATTTTTCTAACAATGCTTTTTCTTAGTAATGACATCAATTAATGTATACATAAAATTAAACCATCTTATGCTATATTGACTTTATTTCATATTGTCCTGCCATTACACTTCTAAGGATTGTTATACATCCATGTACATGTAGTATTAATATTTAAATGACTTTTATTCTTTTGTGTAAGAAATCAATGGTGTAATCTCTGCTTGAATTTATCTTTAGTTTAATAACAGTAATTAGGTATCTAAGTTGTACTGTTGGAAAAGTGAGGTTTTATTTATTTATTTTTTTCAGACATTACAAAATCCCTTATAGTGACAGAATTGGGATCAAATCGTGATCCAGAGACTATAAAAATTGTTCTTTCTAACATGGAAAGACTCCTCAGTATTCCTATTCACGGGTAAGATACTGTTAATTTTTGATATTTAGGACAGATCACTTGCATATTTTGAAATGCAGTGGGATGTAAATGCTACTGTGTAAAAGCTCTCTGCAGAGAAACTGTATTTTCACTTTTTGAGACTGAGATATAATGAACAAAACAGTAACAGTAACAGTAAATCAGATAGACTTGAAAATTAAAGCATGGTTTGTAGGACTAGGAAGTATTGTTTTCCTAGGCTTTTGTTTTGTTTTTAAGGAACTGTGATTGGATATGCTATGCTGTATTAAGGCAGCTGTTAGATGTCTTATTTCTGTGTAGCAACAGAAGTCATTTTTATTTGCTAATATAGAAGACAAAAGTAGATCTTCCTTGACTCTTTTAATTCTGCACAAATACTTTTAATTTTCCAAATAATTGACATTACCAGCAAACTGCTCCTAGCTCAATGTGTTCCTTGTTCCTTCTCATCTAGGTGACCCGAAACCTACATTTCCACAAACCATTTTCTTTAAATGAAGGTGGTTCCAGTAGACAGATTTCTCTTGTTCAGTCTGCTCCTGTTTCTAATCTAAAAGTAGTTCTGGTTTTATGCTGAGATTCTCAAGGTTCTTGTTTTGACATTAAACTCTTAGTTTGTGTTTTCAAAAATCCTTCCAGTGTCATTGAGGATTATAAGTTATAAGGAAGGAAAGCGTGAAGTGTTTCCTCACTTCAACTTTGGTATTTTATGTGTAAAAAGTAAATCGAGCTTGAAGTTGATTTAAGTTGCTTCTTGCTGTAATTTAGCTGCTATCAATTACAATGTAATGCAAATTCTGCTGATATAATGCTGAAATAAGTACTTAAACAGGTTCCTTAATTAATTACATCAATACTTCCGAAAGGAGATGGAATTTGTAACACAAAAAGGATTTTGATCAAGTTACCCAGACTGGTTTTACACTGTGTGATTTATTTTTTTATGATGATTGCTATTGGGTTTTTTTGCAAGCCAGAGATGTTCTACTGAGCTTCCCTTGAGAAAGAGAAGTAATTGTCTTTTCAGTGTTGATAAGTGTGCGCTGTATTTGAAGTCTTGTATAGAAAAAGAAGAGTAGAGTATCTGTTACTGTTTCATGGGTAAGTAAAAAAATTGTAGGGCTTGGAACGGACCTCTGGAGAACATCTAGTCTAACCCCCTGCTAAAGCAAGTTCCATACAGATGGTTGCCCAGGAAAGCGTCTGGGCAGGTTTTGAGTATTACCAGTGAAGGAGACTCCACAGCCTCTCTGTACAGCCTGTTCCTGTACAGCCTGTTCCCTCAAAATAAAGAATTTTTTCTCATATTCATAGGGAACTCTGTTTCAACTTGGGCCTGTTGCTTCTCGTCGTGTTACTAGGCACCACTGAAAGGAGCCTGGCCTCATCCACTTGACTCTTGCCTATCAGATATTTATAAGCATTGGTAGGATCCCTTGCCAGTTTTCTCCAAGCTGAGCAGTCCCAGGTCTCTCGGCCTCTCCTCATAAGGGACGTGTTCTAGGATGTAGCTAACAAAATACGCAAGTTAGAGATGTAGTCAATGAAATACGTAAAGCGGGGGCTGTCAAGGTCACCAGGCGTAATCTGTGTGGGCCCCTTGCGTGGTTAGTGAATACGTGAAAGGGGGGCTGTATCAGTCATCTGCCTCTGCGGGGGCTCCTTGACTCATGAGAAACCATGATGAGACATGGCAAGACAAGACATGCCACATGTCTATTGGGCACAGATAACCGTAGCAAGGGTGATTGGTAGCACTGTGATATAAGGGACAACTATAAGAAGAGTGTGTTGCTTGCAGTAAGTGCCATTTGCCGCTCACCACATTGGTGTCATAAAAGCGTGTGATTTGGCCAGGGCTGTCTGAGCACTTCACGACGGGACATTATTCAGAGGTTGCCGAAGCAAAGGCAACACTAGGACTCTAATCATCTTTGTGGCCTTCTGCTGGACTGTCTATGGAAGTTGCTCATCTTTCTTAAACTGCGGAGCCCAGAACTGGATGCAGTACTCCAGACGTGGCCTTACCAGGGTAGGGGAGAGGGGGAGGATCACCTCTCTTGACCTGCTGGCCATGCTCTTTAATGCACCCCAGGATACCCCTGGCCTTCTTGGCCACAAAGGTGCACTGCTGGCTCACGGTCAGCTTGTTGCCCACCACGACACCCATGTCTTTCTTTAAGAGCTCCTTCTCCAGCAGATCAGTCCCAAACTGATACTAGTGCTGTTATTCCTCCCAAGGTGTAAGAGTCTGTACTTGTTCTTGTTGAACCTCATCAGGTTCCTCTCTGCCCAACTCTTCTGCCTATCTAGGTCTCACAGTCTGCGGGTCTGTCAGCCATTCCTCCCAGCTATCTTCCATAATAGTTGTGGGGTTTTTTTTAGGCTAAGAGGTTATTCAATATTTATTTTCTTTCTAAAGCCAGGTTTTAAATTGGAATTCATAAATATTATTTCTGGGAATTTGCTATGCACACAGCTTTGAGCTACTTAGACAAAGTAATTGTGAATGAAGTTATGCATATTTGCAGCATTCCATTCGGTTTGCTCTAGCTCAGCTCATTTTGCACATGATGCTTTTGTGTTCTTTGCCATGTGCACATACCTTGTGACTTCCTTACAAACTGTTCTTAACTGAAAAACAACTGTCTTCTTTAGGATTAGAGCCGTTGGTACAGCAGCTGTGAACATGTGCCTTGTGGCAGCGGGTGGAGCTGATGCCTATTATGAAATGGGGATTCACTGCTGGGATATGGCAGGGGCTGGAATCATTATTACTGAAGCAGGAGGTGTACTCCTGGATGCGTCAGGTAAGCATAGAAGAATGCACAATATTCCTTTGTCACTTTAAACAGCTGAAAAGAGAATGCAGAGAGGTTATTGCTACTAAGCAGAATTAACGTTGTTAATATACAGAGACAATTGTCTTACAGCTTAAGAGCATATCACTTTCTAACCCATTTGGCTGAGCACAAAAAAAAGACAGAAATAAAAAAAAAAAAATTAAGAAAAAATAAATTAAAAAAAAAAAAGCAGTAAACATGTTCAGAAGAATTTAAATGTAGTTCATACGCTGCATAAACTGGTTGAGTTAAATGTGTTTTTATCCAGTGGCAGGACATAGTCCAGAATCATAATATATCCTTTTTTTGTTAATGCCCATTTTCTTAACAACTTTTAATATTTTTTTCCAGCAAAAAGCTACTTAACTTGCTTGCTTTTATTTCTAGGTGGACCATTTGATTTGATGTCTCGGAGAATAATTGCAGCAAGCAGTCGACCTATTGCAGAGAGAATAGCCAAAGCACTTCAGATAATTCCTCTGAAAAGAGATGATGCAACTAACTGAATACCAAAGCTGCACCTTTAAACATACAGTTGTACAACGGTTCTCTCTCTCATGTGGTGGTTGTTCCACACCTGGCACCTGATTTAAAAAAAAAGAAAATAGATTGTGTTCTTTCAGTACTGGATAGCTTATGGTGTGACTGTGAAGTAGTGTTTTGAGATTGGACCAAGATCTACGTAAGCTTTTATTGTCAAGTATTCTATTTAGCATTAAAAACACATATTTGCTTCCTTTTATAGATCTACAACTGCTGTTTTGAAGCTTTATACTACACTGGAAAGCATAGCTAAGACCCTTTAGTTACATAATAACAAAACAGATTCAGTATCTCAGCGCCACACAGAAGCTTAAGGCAATACTGTTTATCCATTCTCTAACCTTTTCTCTCCTGACTGTTGTTTCTTTTTCAGTATCATCAATGTATCAATTTCCTTAACTTGTTAGGGTTTTTCTAGAAGTAGTTTATGTATTTCTGAATGTTTTTTTTACTTGCTTGTAGATTGGGATCTCATTTAAAGCCCCTTTTAGTTACCTGTCTTTGTTTTTGTAGTCATGGTTCTACCTTTTTTACATTAGATAAACACAGTCTCCTCTTTTGCTTTTTATGTGGCCAATATTCTTGCGTATTTATTACAGTTGCAGAAATAATAACTACTGTGCCAGGAAAACATGTTTTTCCCAAGAATAAGTTCTGAGCACACTTCCTATTGACAGATGGACTTGCTCCAGCTTAAGATTGAAGTATGGCTTAAATTTGTCCTGTCACTTGGAATTATCAGCTTGTATGTACTAGGTTCTTACTCTTATTATTTGAACCGTAATACCCATTAATCTTGTTTGAGTTTCTCCATGATTAATTAATTTCAGAACCTAAGGAATAATTGAAGTCTGAACTGGCAAAAAATAAGCCAGTAGTCCAGGCTTCTTACATCGTTCTCTCTGAGTTATAAAAGCGATGACTGACCAAGTTCAGGTTTCCATTGTGTTATGTTATGGATAGGCACAAAAGAAAATATGTTTCTAACCCTAAGTGTTTTCAAATCTAAGAAATACCAGTAATCTAATGCTGTATAGTTCTAAACTTCTAAAACTATACAGTTCTTTGCATTTTTGTACTTAAAAGTATCAGTCTACTGACCAAACAGTGAATGCACTTTAAGAAAAAACCTTAATTTAGATCATTTTTTAACCTGATTTTTCTGCATCTGACGTCTCCAAAATAAAATTGTTTTATAGAGATTGTCCAGTCAGAAGACAGCAACGTTTTGGAAAGCCTGATTTGTACTGCTGTCCCACTGTCTTTGTTTTGGCAAATGATCTTCTCTCTTGACAGTTCCAGCAGTAATTTGAGCTTTTAATATCAGTTCTTTTTTTTTTTTTTTCTTTTTTTTTTTTTTTTTAAAAAAATTTTATAAGTAATTTTTTTATTAAAATATATTTAATGCCAGATGATTAACATTAATGATCAGCAGCTGCCTGATATTAGGTCTTTTTTAAAAATAATTTTTAAAAAATCAGACTTAATTTTACTTTTAAAGTTACCATTTGACATGGATAGGGACTGTTTGGCCATTTCACTGTAACTTTATTGCTGTAAATGATTTGGGATCATTGTTTCCTGAGTATGACTGTTGTACCATTTTTCTGGCTTCTGTAGAACAAAACCTGCGTAACTTCTTTTTTTAAACTGATTAATTTGTGAAATGGAGACATAGGTTTAAAAAAAATAATAAAGTGAGAGGATGTGTTCAAAATAAATGGGTCCTGGAGGAGCAGCTGCTTCAGATGTGCTTCCCTGCTTAATGATAGAATCGTTAGAAAAGATGGCTGAGATCACCTAGGCCAATGAACTACCTGCCAGCAATGTTGCCCACTAAGCCACATCCCTTAGTACTGCATCCACTCTTTCCTTAAACACCTCCAGTAATGATGACTCCACTTTATCCCTGGGTGATCTGTTGCAATGTCTAACCTCTCCCTGAGGAGAAAAAAAAAATAATATTAGTGCAATGCTGGGATCCAGCAAGCTGGGTATGTGAGCTTGGGGCTGTCTCTGAGTTGAAAACTTTGTCGTCTTGGCCTCTGATACACATGAACTGTTATGCCTCTACAGAACAAGTGCAGGTGTGTACACAGCCCAGTGTTCTTATAAAAAGTACTTCAGCAGCTTCCCATAAGATGATAATATGCTAATTATGTCAGTCCTTAGATCTCAAATCTTACAGAGCACTTGACTTTCTTCACTGTTTGTGAGGCCCAGCAGCTGGTTGAAACGCAGAGCTTTCTCACCCTTAGCTTTCCTAACACTCTATGGAGAATTTACGGAGCATCATTTCACGTATTTACTTTCTTACTCAGTATTCACCTTCTAGGGTTTTTTTTTGTGGTGTTTTTTGTTTGTTTGTTTGTTTTTTGTTAAACTATGTGACAGCTTTTAGGAGTTCTCTGTTTTCTTTTTAACTTCAGTTTTCCTTTCAGGGACATCAGAAATCCCTGCTTGCTACTTCGCTGAAGCATAGTTCTCTCAAATAAGCCATAATGTAAGATGTGTCTTATGTCTATATGACTTCCAGTCATAGAGAAAGCACACCTGAATGTCATTGTTGTTTAGACACATTTTATATCTGTTACTGTGCTATTTTGACAAAAGATTTAGTAAAATGGTGAAACTGTGATAACTGTAATCAAAATGCTTTTGAGAGATTATAAGATGTGGTCCCTGAAAGTTCAATAAAACACCTATTTTATTTTGAAAAGGGGTGGCAAAGATAGTCATGCTAAAATTGTTTAAATTATATTCTAAAATTTGTATATGAAGTGATATATTTATGAGATAGCTTCTGCTGGACAATTCATGTGAGACAATCAGAAAGGAAAACCAGTTACCATGCATGGAATCACAGATTTAGGCTGGAAGAAACTTGAAGATCATCTAGTTTCAACCCCTCTGCCATGGGGGTTGAGGGGGCCCTCCCTTAGCCCAGGTTGCTCAAAGCCCCATCCAGCCTAATCTTGAATGCTGCCAGGGGTGGGACATCCAAAGCTTCCCTGGGTAGCATGTTCCAGTGCCTTACTGCCCTCAGAATGAAGAATTTCTTCTTTGTATCTAATGTAAATCTAACCTTGTTTTAGTTCAAAACTGTTACTCCTTGTCTTGTCACTATACTCCCTGGTAAAGAGTCTCTATCCCAACTTTTTTGTAGGTCTCTGTGTACTGAAAGACTGCTATCAGGTCTTACCCATTTCCTTTTCTCCTTCAGGCTAGACAAGCTCAGTGTCTTCACAGGAGGGTGCTATAACCCTCTGATCATCATTGTGGCACTCCTATGGACCTGTTCCGACAGCTCTTGGTCTTTCTTGTGCTGGGGGTCTCGAAGCTGAGCAGAGTGCTTCAGGTGGGGTCTCAAGAGAGCAGAATAGAGAGGAACTATTGACTCCTTCAGCCTACTTGTTACGCTTCTTTTGTTGTGGCCCAGGATACACCTGGCTTTTTGAACTGCAAGTGCACTCTGCTGGCTCATACTCAGTTCTTTATTCCCCAACAACCCCAAGTCCTCAGCTGGGGTGCTCTCTGTCTACACGTTGCTCAGTTTGTATTTGCGTTTGAGATTCTCCTTGCACTTGGCCTCATTGAACTTCCTGAGGTTTGCACAGGCTCACTTCTAAAGCCTGTCAGAGTTCCTCTGGTTGGCAGCCCTTCCCTCCAGCATGTCAGCTGCACCACATGGCTTTGTGTTGTTGGCAGTGTTGCTGAGGGTGCCCTCACCCACTGTCCTTGTCACTGGCAAAGGTGTTACATAGCACCAGTCCCAGAGCAGATCCCTGAGGAATGCTATTTGCCACTGGTCTCCACCTGGCTGTCAAGTCATTGACTGCAACACTTTGAATATGGCTATATTGCCAATTCCTTACCACTAAAAGGTCCGTTCATTAAATCTATTTTTAGTACTGATTACGTACAAGAAAGAAAATGATATTTCTTGGCTATCACCCCTGATCAGTAGCCCTCTCAATTTACTGATTTGAGGATAGATTGTGATAATTTTCTATAGCAAACTGCAGGGCTTTTCTACTTCTTCAAAGTGGGTTCTTCTAGTAGACTTTATCCTTGGAAGCCTTTTCCTGCATGTAGTATTGCTAAAGCAGCTCTGAAGAATCCTTTTTTTTCCTTCAATATTAAATACAGATTATTATTCCTAATATCCATGTCCCAAAGCTATGATTTTAAGGCTCTTCTGTACAGTCTAATGCCTAGAGCTGAGTAGATACTTTGACTAGACACAAGACGTCAACGTGAGCTCAGTGTGAAGCATTTTAAATACAGGAGATCTGTCTTTTCACGAGCTTCCCATCCTCTCAAAGTCAGCTGCTAATTCAGTTCTATTCATTATCTGTGGGTGAAATAATTACTTCACAAGTCTGATCCTGCTTTTACAGTGCTGACAGGCAATTTTCCTGCAGCATATTGTTGTTGGTTCTACAGCAGCTGGCATGACTTCCTTTGTGCAAGCTCCAGGCATCAGAAGGTTATTGTTGGTGATGTGACACCTCAAGAGCCTGTGCCAGAGCCAGCCATCTCCAGGACAATATAATCCATTTCATCTCTGGCTTACCGCCTGTGCTGCACCAAAAGTGGCAGTGAATGCAGTCTGTCACGTCACTCTTCAGTCTGCACAATCTTCACATGCAGATCTGTGGCTTCCTAAAGACGAGTTTCTCACATGTCCTCCTTTGTGCTCGCTGTCTGTCTGCTACAACAGGACAAGCAAAAACTTCAAAGCCATATGCAACATCCAAAGAAAACTGAGAAGCATGCTCAGCTGAACGCACATCATGTCACTGAGTGAAAGTGCTACAAACTCTTACCTGTTGGAAGAGGATGGATTTGATCCTCCTGCAGTTGAACAGAAATTTTCTTACCACAATTCAAGCTGTCAAAATGGTAGCAATGATGGTGTATGTCCATCCTGTCCCAGAAGCTTATCACCTATGCTGATGGCTTGTACATTAGCTTGAGCTTATACACTGTGTATTATACTTGCAATTGGTTTCCACGGTTGTGGTCAAGAGTTTTACACTGGGTTTTTTTCTTTCCTACACTACTGTTGCTGCTGCTGTTAAGAATCAGGCCGTTTGTACACACATTTAAGTGAAAGGAAAAGAAGCCCAAAATAGAACAGTAACAACCGTATGATGGCAGTAGTGAAGTATGGAAACCACTCCCTTTTCAAGCAGTGGGGATCAAAGTTTATGTTTGCATACGTCTGTTCTTCACATTCACAACCACGGAAAGCAGTTAATTCAGAAGAAATACTTGGCATCTAATATCATAGACGCTCTTCCTCCCTTGCTATGTTAAATCTTCCCCCTCTGCTGTCCCTCGGAGATCTGTGGATCTGTGCAATTCATCCTTTCTGCACACAAATGGAGTTCAGTCTTACAGAGACTCACACAGACTCACTTAGCCGAACTTCACCGTTCCTGACATAACACTAGATGGCAGCCAAAGCCAGGGAGACACCACGGTTCCCTTCAATCCCTTCCAACCCCGTCCTGCTGTTCCTAATTAACAACTACAACCATATCAGATAATTATTAAGACGAATTATACCTCGAATGTGTGAGGATTTTCACTCTGTGTGTCTGTGTCTTGACAAGAAATTTGAAACAGGACTTTTCTTGTGCCAGCAGCATTAACATTCCCTGCCTTTCAGCGTAAGCGTATTGAAAGATGGTGATATTTATCACAGGAATTTGGATTCTAAATTAAAGCAAAAGCATTTTGATGTATTGATGCTTTGCAAAATATTAGATTGTACTATCTTTAAGTCTGTAGTCATTTTCCCTGGATTTTTGCTGTCACAAATCAGGACATGGCATTTGGAAGCCTTTTTTAAACCTATAAAATAATGGTCAGGGTATCTGTGCATCAATCTGTATGCAGGTACAACAGCTCTTGGGCTACAGGCCGAGGCACAAACGAACAGCTCGTCATCATTTTAGCAATGCTACTGTTTTATTATCCAGAGAAGTCTAGCCCAGTAGAAACTATTTTGCTTCCAAATATGTTGTGATGATGTTGAAGGAGCTTTACCAGATGTGTCTAAACTGTCAATAGACTATAGAGTGTATTGAGACTATGCTTTTAATAACCTATCCTAGCATGGACAGATGATTTATCCCTTTATTTCATTCTCTCATAGGTCTATATGCAGCATACTAAAGAAAGTTTCTCAGCGGAAGGTAGTGACAGAGAGAAAAAGTAATGCTAATACATATGGTTCACAATTTTCACTATAGCGCATCTGGAGGGACCCTGTGATCCCAAACATGCCATGCCTTTTGTAAGCTCTGCTGAGCACATCAGCACAGGGTGCTGGGCAGGCTCTGAGGCAT